TTCAATACAACATTAAGATTGTTTAAATTTGAAAAACCGTAAATGTTTTATTTTACAAAATTATTTTACAAAAAAAAATAATAGAAAGTTTTGGAGAGTATGAATCATAAAAGCACAAATGCCAATCAGAGTCAATATTAAGTGTTAGAATTTAAATCTTTTATCAAATAACAAATTAATAATTTAATTTTTATTCTATAATTGTATTCTTTTGAGTCTCTCTCTCTCTTTTTCTCGTAAAATGACTTTTGCTGGTTATATTGTCGATAATAGGCCATTGTAAAAAGTTATGTTTTAGTTGAACTATCAATTACCTTTCGACATCCAAACATTATAACTCAACATCTTCATTTGTTGTAGAGCAAATTAATTCTTACTTATGTATATTATTTTCTATATATGCACATTTTTGTCTATAAAACAATTAAGGTATCTAAAATACCTTGCCACGTGGCCACCTGCATTGATGATTATGCATTGCCAAACAATAATTAGACGATGATTCCGTTTTGAAGTCCCAATCCAGATACGTACGCTGTAATGACTGATACAACCATGGCACGTCAGACAAAGGAACTTCATCGACACCAGCTTCGAGCAGAAGAACGGTGCAATTTTCGTCCTCCGATAATCGGCTGGCTAACACAGCTCCTGCTGATCCCCCGCCAATTATCACGTAATCGTACTGAGCCGACAGCTTTTCCGTTGATAACGTTTGATTCTCATTGTCCATAATGTCTAGACGCATGTTAATAATGAAATATCTCAATGCCATGCAGAGAAGTGTCGAAACTAGAGACATAATCATCGTACGTATGTACTACTGCAATCAGAAACATGATGCTGAATTTCCCGCGCGATCCATAATATTATATATAATAATTATCCTGTTGTTGGAAAGAGAACATTAGTTATTTCTACTTTAATAATATTATTACTAAAACACTTACACCCACACTAGGAAACACACAGATACAGTTATACGTAAGAAGAAAAATAAAGGAGAGAGAAAATGCCGCACACGGATACATTGCATAATATATTATACAATATATGTGTTATATTACAGATATTTATATAGATACTAATTTATTTTTTCTTAAAACAGATGTTTCACAATTATCACGCTTACAGCCGTTACAATCTGTGTAACATATTCCAGAATGTTGCTACTAATGGTCACGAATTTAATATATTTTAGCACTATCTGTTCTCTCTATTGTGCTTTGCTTGTCCTATATAGCTATTTTTGATATTTTTACAATATTTGTTGCAGTTATTTTTCTTTTAATTTGTTTTCACTCGTATATAGAATTCTTATAGTATATATTAGCATAATTATATTTTATTAATATTTTATAAAACTAACAAAATGCTTCTTTTGTGTGTGTAGTATTAATTAAAATGAAATAATAACATAGTATTAATTAAAATGAAATAATAACACAAACGTGATATTAAAATAGATAAATTTTATTTTATAATTTTATTTCTAAATAGCGTTTAGCACTTAATTGTAATTATTGAAAAGCCCAAGAGAGAAACATGTGTTACTCATCGATAACTAAATAAAGAATGAAACGTAAAAATTGCACGCTTGCCGATAAATGATTTGTATGGAACTTAAAAGTGTGTACATAGTATTTCACTTTTATTTACCTAAGCAGTTTTTGTGTGTAGAAATCTATTATTGTCGTGATATATATAATGGATCCTTTTTTTGCGGAATAAATATTAAAATAAAGTTTTTATACGACTGGCACTCTCTTGTATGTTGTAATTATCGTTTTGCCACACTATATATTTACGTAGTAATATAACATTTTGATCGTAAAAAATTTGCAAAGGTAGATTTATAATCATATGCTATAAGTAATCCATGTATAACTGTAGACTAACTTCATTACTTGTAAAAGAAAGCAATACTTTCTGCACATGGGGGCATAAATGCCTACCCATCTGAACTTGTCGGAGTATTGGGACATATTCAAAATACGTAATATTTCTCTCTAAATATTCATGCATAATGACTGACAATTATTTGAAATAATGTAAAGTGATTATTACATATATAAAATCACTATGCACAAGTATAATTTTTTTAACATTAACGTTTAATAATCAATTTATTAGTAACAAAATTATTATAACAGTGTATTATAATATGTAATATAATATAATATAATAATGTAATATAATATAACATAATATATATGATCATAT